TGGCAGTTGAAATTGGTGCAGAGGACCCAGGAACACACGTGGCAGCACTAAAATCTCATCTCAGCTTGGCATGCTACTGCTAGTCTTGGCCAGACATCTACGCTTGCCAGCAGACAAGGAAAGGAAGTTGTGAGAGACAACGATAACCCCTGAAAGGGGTATTGTAGGAAGGTCTTCTCACTTTCCAAGCCCTGTTTGGTCCAGGTGTCTTAGTCTGGGGAGAAATGCAAACATTCTCCTGACTCTGCAGTATGAGATTTTAGGAGAGAGACATCCTACCACACCTAGTAAGACGGTCCTGGTGGCAGTTACTTTATCCTGATAACATCTACCTGTTTTGTGAAATTTCTTTTGCAGTGTTAATTTAGGGAGGAGTCAAATGACAAATTAAGGCCTCCGCCTACACAGTACAAACAAGAGACCGTGGCTGGGTTCCTGAGAGGGTAGTTCCCGTTTTTAACGGTGTTTTTGCTGTGCGTCTCTGTGGTGGCATCCTGAAGTGAAGGCAGATCGTGAGAGCAACATCCAGGGCAGTTTCTAGTATGTTTGTTTTAAAAGGCTGTATTCTTTAAGCAGTGATTTTCTCTTTCCTCCTGCCAAGTTGAACGTGTCATAAAAGCTCAGATTTGTCTTAATAAAATCCCATTGTGCATATACCCTGATTGAGGCTTTGGGGGTGATTGTGTCAAATACCTTCTTTGACACACAATTGGCAATTGGACTTGATGACTCAGAACTTGAATTCTATGCTCCTGCAGCGCTTTCAGTTTAGCCTCTCTTGATTTCTCTTTTCTTTCTCCTTTTGCAGTAGATCTTCAGTGTGAGGAAGTGCTTTTGTGACGCTGACGCTTGCAATGCTGACACACATTTCTGTTAGTGAATGCTCCTATAAATTAACCTTTCCATCACGATGCCAGTAATATATTCATTAGGCTGACTGTCTGTGGGAAGTATGTGACTGTAGAGATGAGGCAAGACTTGTAGAGGAAGGTAACATTCTGACTCAGTTGCAGGGGGGTGGTTTTTCTGTTCAGGCAAGATAAAGAAGGAATTCTGCCTACAAGTTAGGTTTGGGGTTTTGGGTTTGTTTTTTTCTTTGTTGTACTTGCTGTTGTTTCTCCTTGTCCCACTGCAGGCACACAAAAAAATTAATTCCCAGATATCTGCAAAAGCCTGGAGCCTGTTATTCACAGGATGTGTTTATAATCACACTGGAATACCCTTAAGTAACAGATTACCTGTTACTCTACAGGTCTGAGGATTGGCAGCTTGTAGGGGGAAGAAAAGGGGCTTTTAGATGTTACTTCATCAGGTGTATCTGGAAAAATAGGGATAGTTGTGGACTTGGGGTGGTTTAATCTTCACCCAGTGAAATGAGAGGTTATGGAAAGATGAACTCTGAGTGCATACTTCAGAAATCTTACTGTTCTGCGGATTGTTCTTCCTTTTCAGAGCGGTAATAGGGAGTTATCAGCCAAACTTGAATGTTCCATGAAGGATTCTGCCTTCGGGTTTGTGAAGTACAGCATGCCTGAGAAATACTTGTAACAACATACAGATCTGTGTACGTGAAAACCGGTGTTGGCTTCAAAATCGATCTCTCTCAATAACTAGTGTGGGAAAGGTCGCTTGGAAGATAGGACTTACACTTTTCTGAAGGCGTCTCTCCTCGTGGGTTTAACACAAGTATTTATGTGATGACCCTTCCTTGCTGGGAAGGTGTGGCAGTAGGCTGACCTTGGGAATAGTTGCTGCAGTTAAGATTTCTGTGGGATCATAAAATAATTTAGATTAAAGCAGCTCTCTGGAGGTCACCTTGTCCAATCCTCAAAGCAAGGCCAACGTTTCAGTTGTCAGATTGTTTATGGTCTTATGTTGTTCAGTTTTGAATATCCCCAGGAACGGAAATTCTACAGTCTGTACAGCCTTTTCTTTTGGTGCTTAAGTGCTATTACTGTGCAGGATTTTTTTCTCTGCGGGTAACTGTGAAAATTGCACACCTGAAAACCTGTTCTGGAGCCAAAATTGTAAAATGCCACAAAGGTTTTAAGTGTGAATGCCCTTAATGGACACCTAAGGAAATGTCATCTTGGTATTTCTCTGGCTGACAGCAGGATTGATCTTTCGTTTCATGTTCCCCCTACAGGGTAGTAACTGGTCAGCCAATTGGACTGTGACTGTTTGGTGGACTCGTGAGTGTGAGCCAGCCCTGCCCAGCCCAGGTGAAGGCGCCTGGTGTGGCTGGTCAGAAGCCCTGCGGAAGGACAGTTGTTTGCAGTCCCACTGCATGAGAGTTAGAGAATCTACACACTGGGTTAGACTTCCTTAAGTAATGAAATCCATTGCTGCTATCCTCGCTCCTTCCCGTTCCTGGGACTGCTTTCCTTTCTTCTGTTGATGTGCCTTGGAATCACAGAACTATAGAATGGTTTGGGTTGGAAGGGACCTTAAAGTTCCAGTCCCACCCCCTGCCATGGGCAGGGACCCCTTCCATAGCCGAGGTTTCCCCAAGCCTCATCTAGCCTGTCCTTGGACACTCCCAGGGATGGGGCATCCACAGCTTCTCTGGGCAACCTGGCCCAGTGCTCCCACCCTCTGCGGGAAGAATTCCTTCCTGATACCTAATCTAAACCTCCCTGCTTTCCATTTAAACCCGTTCCCCTTGTCCTGTCACTACAGGCCCTTGGAAAAAGTCCCCCCCAGCTTCTTTGTAGTCCCCCCAGGCACTGGAAGGTGCTATAACGTCTCCCCGGAGCTTCCCTTCTCCAGGCTGAACCCCCCAACTCTCCCAGCCTGTCCCCATGGCAGAGGGGCTCCAGCCCTCAGAGCATCTCCGGGGCCTCCTCTGGACTCTCTCCAACCGGTCTATATCCTTCTGATGTTGGGGGCTCCACAGCTGGATGCAAAACTGCAGGTGGGGTCTCACAAGAGCAGAGACTTGTCTATTGTGCACCTAGAAATGTTTGAGGTGGGGTTTTGGTATGGTCTTTGGTCACCTGCAAGCCTGACTGAGTAACTGGACTCTTGTGCTGGCTGTAGTCTGTGGCTTACTTTTGACTTCCTCCCCCCACCTGATTTCTGGGAACATCTGTATATTTTCCCTAAGCTTTCTAGTGAGGGAAGCCTGTGACTCAAATAGTTTCCTGCAAAGTGTGAGTTTTGGGTTTCGAGGGGTTTTTTTGCAATCTTAAAGTCCCAAAGTGAATTATTTCTGCATTTTTTTTTCCCTGAGGTGATGCTGTTTCTTCTTTCCTTGATGCTTTGGGTTTTGAATTCCAGAGTAACACGAAAACTTTGTATGGATCACGAGAGCTTTCTTAACCATTCATTCTCTTCTTGACTGATTCTTAGACCGAAAGAAGACTTTCCTGAATAATAAATTAATCAAATGTGCAGATTTGTAGATTTTTTAGGTTTCCTCTCCTGGTGAGGCAACTGACCCAAACTGAGTATCTTCAGGCCAGGATTCTCTGTTTAGAGAGCTGTAAGCACTGTGTCCCCGAAAAGGAAATAAAAAGATTTGGCATCCTGTAATTGCACATGGGTACTTCTTCGCTGTTGTTGTGGTATATCCTGTAGGAAAGAAGAGTGTAAAGATGGACACTTTTATGAGGGTCTAGCCCAATGTTTCCTAACATCAGGACATGCTTTCTGGCTGCGGGCTAGATGTAGAGGAAGCAGTGAGCCTTTTGAGCCAAGCTGAAAGGAAATCACCCTTCCCTTGTTTTAAAAGCTGTGACTGTTGAAACGAACAGGACGTGAAGAAATGGGGCAGGACAGTGAAACCTGGGGCTGCAGCCTCTACGACTTCTTCAGCATTTGCTGAGAGCAGGGGAGTTCCTTTAGGATTAGTCACGAGATGATCTGTAGCTTCTCCACGGGAAAACCCCACAACCTGTGTCTGTTCTTCAATGCAGTCACAGCCATTTGTTACTGAAGTACTAACAACGTGTTCCCAGGAATGATTGCTGTTGGAACACTTGCAGTCCCATTCTCCTGAATTCTCATTTCTCCCTTTAAACACAAGGAGAAGTCGTAACAAATGTAGTGGTCAGAAAAAGTGGCATTTTCTGCTTGATGGCACTTTGCCTTCTAAATGTGTGATTTGTTGTCTCCGTTCAGTTGTCTCTGCAACAGTCGCTGTTTCGAAGTGAAATAGGTTTAATGATGTGAATGTTGGGTCCTTTTTTAAAATCGATTTTGAGAAACAGGTTCTTTTGCACTCTCTCTCTCAAAGTAATTGATTAAATAAGACAAAAATTGTTTCTTGAAACCCTCCTCTTGCCCACCCACAGGAGAGAAAACAATTCACATGTCCAGGTCATACGTCCATTTTCCTTAGAATCCTGTGCCCGTTTTGGCACAAAGGTACAGCAAAACCCAATAATTTCTGAATGTGCATGTATTTGTTTTAGTTCCAAAATGAGGCTTATGTTCAGAGCTTCTGTGCTCTAACATTCACAGTGTTAGATCAGCTTTGGGCATATGCGGTGCACACAGGGCTGAGTGAAATACTGAGGTCTGGGGTCTTTCAGACTGAGTGACTTCTTATGTCTTCCTCGCTCTCCCTGAGGAAACAAGCTGCTTCATCTACCCCAGCAAAACCCCAACTTGTGTGACTTTTAGGACCTGTGGCCCTTGACCTTCCCTTTGGCTTGGGCTGACACCGAGGTGCATTCTCGAAATAATGCATTTTGCTTACAGGGCTGGAAGGGCACTCGCTTTATGTTCACAGAGGGCTCCTATCAGTGATAGATGATTTCCCAGTAATGAGAAGTCGCCCTGGGGGAGCACATTCTGATCCTCGGAAGCCGAGGACATGAATATTTAATTTTTCATTTTCGGTGTGTGGGCTGCATGTGCGGGCGGCGGTTGCCATTTGGACTCATAAAAGAGATTACTTCACCTGCGAAGTTTCTTTAAGGAAGGCGAGCGGAGATCTTCAGAAGCTTTTTGGCTAGGTTTGCAATTGGTGACGAGTCGGAGTCCTTGTGATTTAGGCAAAGGAGGGAAATAGGTGCCTTGTTTTAATCTCACTCGCTCTTTGGAACTCTTTCAGGTTTATTGCTAAGCCGTGTGCCATAAACCTTGGCATTCAGGACAGTGGACCTCACAGAGCCCAGCCCAATGCAATTTTAGAGAAAGTGTTTACATCCATCACGAAGGTGAGTCATCCTTCAAATTCTGCTCGAAATGGAAGTCTGTAAGTAAGGGGGGGAGGCCTTTTTGCTTCCACTGTTGTAGTTAGAGAGAAATGCATTTCACACTGTGCATGCACAACGACTGTGCTCGTTCTGATTTTACTTTGCCCCTGCGTATCCTTGTAGCGAAGCAGATTCTCTTTAGGGCTAACCTGTGCTTTTGTGTGCAGAAGAATCTTGGTTTTGAATGAAAAAATGTTACCTTTTTAGAAAGGTACGAGGCTTCTTCCTTTAGTTCCCTGCCTTTGTCCAAATTGTAACTCCTGTAACAGGTGGTAATTCTTGGTTTAACAAGAAATTTCCCAGCATCTCTCCTTTTCGATTGGAAAAGTGCTGCTCTTTTCCTTGAGGTCTGTTCCTCTGCTGGTTTTATTGGCCAGTTGTGTAAATGCCTTCCTCTTATTTTTGCCATCTGCTGTGGGATGAGACAACGGCTGTCACAGTGAAAGTCGGTTATTTAAGGAAATGTTCAGTCAATGGAAGTGTGCCCTGATAAAGGGTAGGACATTTAATGTTGACAGTAGGCGTTTCATGGCCTTTCTCTCACTTAAGCTGACAGTGCTCCTTCACTTCAGAACCGCAGAATTCCACCCTGCCTGTACTCTGGTGAGTGCGGATGGTGAAATAGCACTGTCCCGTGGATAGCATGCTAGATTTCCATTAAAGATAACGGATTGAAAGGGTTTATGTTCTGATTTGGTGATGCTGAACTTCATTCTGAGTGGAGGAGATAAAGTGCTCAGTGAATGGAAGGGAATTTCTATGAAAACCTTACTAAAACTTGCCTCGTGGGAACATTAAAGTTTTGAGGTATTTGGAATGATGCGTGAACTGAAAAGTCTCTGTGATTTGACACCATTTGTGGGGAGGACTTTTATGCAGGGAATGTCCTTGAAATTAATGTTTAAGAAACCCCTGAGGACAAGTGCCGTGCAAAATTTATCTAGCTTATGACAACAGTATGCTTGTGTCTGCTGGTGGATTTGGAGAATCGGAATGTAGGGTAGTACAGAACACACTGCTGTTCGGACATCGGAGCTCTGAGTTCTCCTTTGAGGCAGGTTCGCTTCCAAAGCAGAAGTGTCAGGTAGCCCGAAACGTTCAAGCCTAGTAAAGTGGAGAGAGATTCGGCTGTGATGGAGTTACAGAACAGCCCTGGTCTCAATACTGAAAGTCAAACAACAGATGATTTTGCTTTTCACTTGACCAGCCTGATGACTCTCTATTAAATCACCATTCTGCATAGTTCTTTGGGTTTGCAACTCGAGTAGTAAAATGCCTTTATCATCTTTCAGTTATAAGAGCTCCCTGGCAGAGCTTGTTAAAAGGACACTGGTCTGACACTAACGTGGCTCGTCTCACCACTGGGCCAGTTTGCTTTTCAGTTGACCAGCCTGATGATTCTCTATTAAATCACCGTTCTGCATAGTTCTTTGGGTTTGCATGTAACTCGAGTAGTAAAATGCCTTTATCATCTTTCAGTTGTAAGAGCTCCCTGGCAGAGCTTGTTAAAAGGACACTGGTCTGACACTAACGTGGCTCGTCTCACCACTGGGCCAGTTTAGAGGTAGTTACCAGGTTTTCTTCACTTTGCCTGCTCTTCTAAATCCATTAACGACATTATTCAAACAAACAAACTGCCAGTAGTTTCCAGTCAGAGAACAGTGATACATTCTTTTTCCTGCCATTATTTCCATTTTCAAATTTAATTTTATTCATAAGCTTTGATACCAGAAATGACCCCATCTCTGCAGTGCCCTTTTGGAATATACGATTATCCATTGTGTTAAACCAACTCTTACTTTGAGGTTTCCCTGACCTTGCAGTGAGTAACAATCCTTAAACGTATTCAGCTTCGATCTTCTTGTGTTCTGGACTGTTCCAACTGATGTACAGGTTTGAACAGGTAGGACAGGACATTTTAAAAGCACCAAATTAAGAAGCAGAACAATTGCCGCCTTTGCCACAAGATGCTGTCAAATGGCAAAATAGATGAGGAAATGTTAAACCAGAAGCATTCTGAATAATTAAGTAATCAGTGGCTAATGAAGGTTAAACTTGAATGAAGTTGTGGCGTTGGGTTCCTTCTAGTCCGGACGTAGTGCCTTCCTAGTGTGGTTTTGTGACCTGTGTATCCTTTCTGCCGTAGTACAGTGGGGTTCTCGGACTGAAAGTAAGTTGAGGAGTAGGAGGAATGACATTTGTTTCATTTTCCTTCAGTCTCCAGATGGAAAAAGATTAGAAGGCTTGTCAAAGCAGCTGGACTGGGATGTTCGAAAGATCCAGCGCTGGTTTCGGCATCGGAGGAACCAGGACAAACCCACCACCCTCACGAAATTTTGTGAGAGCATGTATGTGTGCAGAGGCCAAGATGTGGCTTCATCTTAAAGCTCCAGCAGTATGTTCTCTCTTCTAACTGCAACTGTGGTCAGCTAATTTAAACTGGTGTCCTGGGTTTGGCCGGTGCAAGATAAGTTCTTCCCTAAGCAAATGACAGAACTTTGGAGGGCTTGGTAGAATTCAGTGTTCCAAAATACTTTGTGTATGCGCGTGAGAGACTGGAACACACGTACAGGAGTTACTCCTGGCAGCAGCGAGCAGCTCAGGTAGCCGACCAGGTCCGTAACACACAGGCAGCGCTTCAGTGAGCGTGCACGCCTGCACGTGTGCACAACTTGAGTAGTGACACTGGAGGCACGTCTGCTGGCTGCAGCGTTACGTTATTCCCAGGCAGAGTGACCTTAGGCTTACACAGGGGTGTATATGCTTAGATATGGGCACTTCTGGGTTTCCTGTTCTTTTCATTTCAGTTCATTCTGTTGTTCTTTGTTTCTTTCTGAATGCTTCCAGTTACCTCTGATAGTGTAGTAGCATCTGAATATTTTTTTCCTGACTTATTTCTTCTGTGCTGGTTTCTTTCCTTTCCAGTAACTTTCTTCATATTAATTCTTCCTCCCAGTATGGTTTTGTCTACTTAAAGCCACAAGGTAAGAGGGCGAAATACATACATTAGGATACCTTTGGGATAACAATGACTTTCCTTGTTACCTTGTTACTGTGTATTAAAGCATATGAATGATGCATGTTCACTCTGAACTTCATGCTGTTGATGCAAGCGAGTGTGTGGTGTGAAAACTCTTAGATGGGTTTATCTGTACATGAAATGTTTACAAATGTAGGATTACCATTTGGTGAGCTAAAGCTTTTCAGACGTCAGAATTGAGTTTGTCAGTTGGTCCAGTTTTTGTTACAAATGTTAACCAGAAGCTATTGCTGGTTCTAGTTTAATTTTTGCTTCTTTTTGCAGGTGGAGATTTACATTTTATTTAAGTATATTTTTTTATGGGATCCGGTTTCTCTGGACGGTGAGTTGATCTGTCACCCCCCTCTTTGTTGTTCAGTGTGGCATGCAGCTGGGTTAGGGCTGCACTGCAAGAAATTGAGTGGCTGTGTCCCTAAGAGCTTGCATCTAGCTTAAACCAAGGGAGGTTTAGTGGCAGTAGTCGTCTTTATGTGCCCTTATTTGAGGATATTAAAGACCTTCTTTATGCTACAGGAAAGCTTCTGTACAGATCTGTCATGGAACAGAACTGGGGCACGTTTTGCTATGGAGAGCTGCGTATTTTTGTCTTATCTCTCTCTTGGACACAGATTCATCTTTATTATTCTTAGAGCTGTGTGATTATTCTTTGGGTTTCCATTGCAGGTCATTCTTTGGGTTTCCAACGTGCCTTTGGCTACGGAAAGAATATTATAAATCACTGGGATGTTTCACAATATATCTAGCTTGAATGGTAGAATCAAGACAAAATCTTAGTGAAACGGGACTGCAGTGGCCAACTGCATTGGAAGATGGGGAGGAAAAACCCAATAGAGTAATAACCGATCTTTTTCCCTTTAGGCACCCTGGTTTTGGGACACACGACAGTGCTGGTACAACTACCCTTTTCAGGTGGGAGAGAAACGCCAGATTTGAACTTTTTGCACTGTTTCAGTTTTTGTTAATGATTGAAACTTGGGAGACTTGAGTGTTTCTCTGTTTTGTGCAGTGTGGATGCTGCACAGGCTGCAGTGTGGTAAGCATGCTAGCCAGTGAATGGCCATCCCTTTCCGAAGGCACATTTACTCCCCTTGTCTTCAGATCCTGGCTAGGTTTGTCATCAGCAGTGTTTCCTCAGATAGAACTGATTCAGTCCATGCTCATTTTTGTGTTCACTTGCTGCTGAGATTATTAAAAGTGGCTAAAAAGCCCCCATGCATAAAATGATACTGGTGACTTATTTACAGTGTTGTCTTTGTTATGCACCACGTAGGATTGTGTAGCGGCCAACCAGGCTGTTCAGTGCCTGGTTTTCCTAATCCAGGAGGCTGCAGTACGAGTTGTAAATATTGACAAGGAAATCTTAGGCCTTTTGAACAAAGCTCAAACACACTAGTATGTATGTGTGACTAAGCCTAGAGTAAGATGTGTGTTGCTTAAGCTTGTTTTAACTAAACCGTAATTCTGGATCTTTTAACTTGTGCTTCCAGCATTCTGGAGAACAGAGTGGGATGGAAAGGAAGAAGTAGATTTTAATGTAAATTTTAAAGTACTTTGTCTTCTAACTGTGCTATCTTTGTTTGTTTTCCAGCCTCTAGCATCCAGGCTTTATTATTACTATATCTTGGAGCTGGCCTTCTATTGGTCTCTCATGTTTTCTCAGTTTACAGACATTAAACGGAAGGTGAGATTAACTGGAATTGCACTAACCAGTTTGCTAAATAAATAGGACTAACAAAAAATGTAAGTGTCCCTGGCCAGTAAAGCTAAAGCATAGTAGTAACTGTATTTTCTTCCTCATTCACATCTTTGTGCAGCCTACCTCCTCCTGTAATCAATACCCAGTCCTGGGGAAGAGGGAGGAGCAAGCCTGGTATATCCTTGAGTGTCCCTTTCACCCTCCAGAAGGAAAGAACAGAATCACTCAATACCTCCCAATGAAAAGTTATCAAATCGTTGTGTAAAAATAGACTTAATTAGAAGGCTTGCAAGAAAACATGGAAGTGAGATGCCCAAAGCAGTGCCTTGCTGAGCAGGGTGAGAAGATGGCAAACACTAAAGCAGTAACAGAGGGGGATTTGAAAGTAATTTTTCATCTGTTCATGTAGCAGAATGGTGACTGGTCACGATCCCCGGAATCTGATTCTGTTGTGCTGCCTTCTAGGATTTGGCTTATTGTTGCTGTTGGAAAACAGTTTGTAGTAAATCATGGTTTATTGCTGCTGTTACGCAAACTGCAAAGTAGCAAATTCTCCCCGTTCTTGCACCGAATGTTCAAAAAGAAAAGCATGCCTGGGGTGTTTTTCTGTACTGAAACACTAGCAGGTGAGGCACTACAGAATTATCTTGGAGCTGCAGAAAGGGGGTGATTAACCGTGTCTGTGATCCTGTTCGTAATGTTTCATTTTGTACTTGAACGAAGCGGAGTACATCCCCCGCTGCAAGAAGAAGGTACGCTGCCGCAGGAGTGTTGTACCCAGGGGGCTAAACTGGAAACCAGCCCTGAGTGGATGTGCACTGGAAACGTTTGTTGAAGGAAGTGGCCTAATTCTTGCTGTTCTGTGCCTGCTGTGCTCTGGGAGGCTTTAGCACACTGACAACAGTAACAGCCTTATACTTACAATCTGTGCCAAGAGCTGAAAGGACTAGCAGAATGACTGAAAAATGAAAAGGAACCAAAAATAAGGGCCCATATGTTGTACTGCCAATCTCTTCAGTGGGGTCTGCAGACATGTGTGTGCGCCACAGAGACTGTGCTGTGCCTGTGTATGCGGAGTTCTGACTTCACGGGAGCGCACATGCTTGGAGAGACCTTTCTGGAACCCTTTGTGATGATGGGTGATGTGTGATGAGCTGTGGAGTCACTCTGAACTGAAGTACTCCTGTGACCCCAGTTAGTCAGTTTTGTGGCTCCGTTCCAAACCTTTCTGTTTGTTTGACAGCCAACGAGTCCTCAGTCATTTATGTTTCTCCTGTTTCCAGGACTTCCTGATCATGTTCGTCCATCATTTGGCTACAATTGGACTCATTACGTTCTCTTACATGAATAATATGGTGCGGGTGGGAACTCTGGTGCTGTGCCTCCACGACGCGTCAGATTTCCTTTTAGAGGTGAGTCGTCCTTCAAATCTTTGCGTACCTAATGCTGCTGTGGTCTCAGGGGAGCAAGCTGACTTTCCCGTTCTTGATAAACTGCATTAAATATGTCATAAAACTTAGGCTGCTGATCCTGCCTTGTCAGCTTTTCCTCATAACTGCTTTAGTGCTGAGAATAATCCCTAAATGTTCCAAACTCCTTACAAATGTGATGGCTTGAGGGTTTTTGAAGCTCTAAAGCCTGGTAATTACACAAATGCACAAAAGGAATAATATTCTCGTGTTTCTTGTCTCTTTTAGGCTGCAAAGCTAGCCAATTATGCCAAGTACCAACGTCTGTGTGATGCTTTCTTCATGCTCTTCGGCGTTGTATTCATTGTTACACGGCTGGGCATTTATCCTTTCTGGTAAGAACCTTGAGCTGCAAGGTCTTGTTCTTGCAATCCCTTAAGCAAAAGCCTGTGTATTTAGGCTTCTTTCAAGCATTCCGGTCTGCCCCCCAAGGCAGCCTGAAGTTGCGGACAACCCAAGCACTGTTTGGAGCAGTATGTTCAGCTAGAAACCTCTCAGCAGTCAGCTGAGGGAGCGTGAAAAGCAACTAGAATCCTAATGCACAGCTGGCCCCTCTCTTCCTACTGCAGAGTGATGACAGTGCTTATTAGCTGGAGCCAAGTCAGCCGGAATCTGCTCTGAAACACTTGAAGGGTTGTTTGCTTCTCTTAAGAAGTTTTGGAAATAGTTACAAATTTGATTTTTGAGTATCTAGCTTAGTCATCGTTGCAGTTTCTGAATTCTTAGGACACTTGTATCCTGTCCTTGTGCCGTGATTGTTCAGAGACTCAAATATAGGTATTTGGTTTCTTGGGAGGTAAAGCCCTGGCTAAGTACTTGTTGCTAATCATTCTATAATGAGATTCCCTCTCACCCCCGTGGGTCAGGCTTGGTGAGGCTCTTCTGTTGATGGGCTGCTATCCACTTCTTGCTTCTGTTGAAAGAGAGGTGAAAATGTGGTTTCACCCGATTATCAGTCAGTTTATTTCAGTCTTACTGCACGTATGTATTTCCTAGGCAACGGACAGCTTGTATGCCCGTTCTCTCAGGAAGAAACAATACTCACACTTCGATATCACCGTTGCAATTAAAGCTCTTGCGTGCTTTCCACTAAATGCATGAAAGGAGTCTGGCTAAGGAAGAGCTTTAATTCTCCTGGCTTCATAGGCTTCTTCGAGGGACAGATGAGAGAGTTGTCACTGGTTTTATTACTATTGTCTGACGTGAGGTGATGCTCTTGCATCACGCTGTTGCTCAGCAGTCCTGTACATCTTTAATGGATTTTCCACTGGCTGTAATGTAATTCCTCTGCAGAGAAATCTGGCAAGCTTGTGGTAGCATTGCAGGCCCTATGCTATTTCACTTCACGTATATTCTCTTCCCTAATTAGCTGTATAAAACATCATCAGACTTCTGGAATTGTGTTTAATTCATCCATAAACTGGCTATGAGTCAGATGTTTCTGTAGCTGCATTTTGGGGGACTTGAGTGGTTCTCTGAAAGGCTTGTTTTTCTTGTGAAGCGTTAAAAGCTGTGTGAAATCAGTGACATCTGTGAAGGTCTCTCCATTACCTCTTTACTTCATAAAATCCAAAGTGTTTATTAAATTACTTTCAGTACTGGCAGTAACTCCCAGCAACGAGAACAGCTAAACAGTAATGAAAGCAAGCACAAAGCTTTGTCCATAAAGCAGTTTCTAGTCCTCCAGTTGGCAGGAGGAATCTATAAAAATCTGAGGGAAGAGGATAGTGCACAGGCAGGGAACTGGGAACAAAATTCCTTCCTGATCCTTAAATACGAGTGAAGACTGCCCAAGTATGAATGTGTTAACGGTTGTTTTGATGACCAATGCAGCTTGACATCACTTCCTGTACAGTTATTATAAATGCTCATGCTTTTGAGAAGGAAATTGGCAGCAGGTCTGTATGTGTAACCAAATTGCAGAACATTCACATCTTCTCCTGTTTGTTGCTCAGTTCAAATGTTTCTAATTAGCTTCAGTCTGTCTCCTAACTCTGGCAAGAGACTAGCTGCATTGCCGTTCTGACAGGAGCAAAGCAACAGATGCCTAAATGAGATACAAACTGTTGTGCATCTGGCCAGTCCTCTTAATTTAGAGCTGGAAGCCACGTTACCGGCACAGCCGCTCTGTAATGTGTTTCTGCATCTCTTTTAGGATTTTGAATACAACCCTGTTTGAAAGCTGGGAGTTGATTGGTCCTTATCCTTCATGGTGGCTATTCAACGGGCTTTTGATAACCTTGCAGATCTTGCATATCATCTGGTCTTATCTCATCATTCGCACTGCCTACAAGGCCCTCGTGCGGGGAAAGGTAAGATTGCTGGTGACTGCTGGGGGTCCTCTTTCCCACGAGCCCTGTTTCAGTGACCATGAGGAGCTGGGCCCTTCAGTGAGGGCTGGTCCTAGTGCTTGGGGGACTCGCATGAGGAGCCCTTTGTAGAACGGTAGGTCTTTTACCATGGTTGCTCTGACACCTGAGGTGCCAGGCATGTCCAGAGGCAGGGATGCTTCCCTCTCTGTTCTGGTTGTGCAGGGACATAACACCATTTTCCAGTACATTCAGCTATGGTAATAACAGTGGTGATGACAGGCTTCTTACGTGCTTTGTCTGGAGTTTAAGGTGGTGGTAGGCTCTTTTTTCAGCAATCATATGGGATGTTTCCCAACCTTCCAACTTCAGCTGGTTCTTGGGATGTGATGAGGGTTATGCGTTTGCCACTTGTTAGCGCTGACACAGGGTTCTTGCGGTCAGCGCAGGCCAGGTGTTGAGCTGCAGCCTGCAGAGAAGGGGTTATCAGAAACCCAGTGGAGTTTGCTGGGCTGGTGGGGTGCAGTCTAGCGTCAATTCTGAGTATTCTAATTTTGATTTGTGTGGGGAGTCTCAGGGAGAGGGAGGGTTGAACCTACAGCAGCTGCTTAGCAACGGATACTGCCCTAGGAGTGAACAGTGCTGACTTGTGGCTGCAAGCTCTGTTGCCAAGCAAAAAGGTAGCATGAGACAGGGCAGGCCAGTCTAGGAACTAATTTGACACCCAGCCTACCCATCAAAAGAAACCACTTCCTTTGCAGCTACCAGGCAGCAACAGCTTTCATAGCACAAATGCCTTCTTCTGCAGATATTTGCTATTCTGATCTGAGTTGCTGTCATGGCTCTACTTTGTGTTTTACTTCTTAGCTGCTCCCACACATGGAATGTAACCTTGGAAAATATTTATATCGTAGTTGTCTGTGGCAGTGATTGTCAGGGGAAGGCATGTTTCAGAGTATGCACATGATCTTTTCATCTGTTCCCCACAGCTGCTACTGCAAATGTCTTATTTTCTGTCTGCAGCTGTTTCTGTATCCTGAGGTCTACATCTTTTTCCTTTCCTTGGTTCTCTCCTGTCCAGGTGACCTAGCCAGAGAAAGGACTCTAAGCTCTGTCTTCTTCATTCTTTTCTCCTTTTCTCTGTGCCAGATTGGAGCTGGACAGTTTCATCCTTTGCATGTAAGTGTGACCTGTGCTTCTCTTTGTTCACTGAAACACAGCCGTGTCTGTTTGAAGGGGAAGACAGAAGCATAGCTGTGCTCTTGGGGCTTTAGATGGCTGGTGCCTTCTCTGAAAATGTTTCTCTGCTGGTTCTGATAGCATGCTAAAATGCAGCTCTTTCCAAAGGTTAAAGCGGTGTCCTAGGCTTTGCTCTTATCTGCTGTCAGCTGGCTGCATGACCTTCACCTTGCTGCTTTTATAGCCCGCAGAGACGCCGACATGGGTCTCTAGTGCTCATTAACCCTGCGGAGTGGAAAAGGACGGGAGGAATTTAGTGCTTTTTGCAGAGAGGGGTGGAACAGTCACATGTCCCCCAGATGATGGGAAAACTTTCAAGGGATTTCTGTTTCCTTCCAGCGACCCTCTGAACTTCCACCGTAGCAGGAGAGTGGGGAAAGAGAGCAAAAGTTCTGGCAACAGACAGAAGCCAGTGCATCCAGCAGGCCTGTCAAAACCAACCCTGGAGATCATTAACTTTTACCTGGCTTTCTGCCAGATCTTCCCTTGATTTCAAAACCTTCCTGCCTGGTGCTGTTGGATAACCCTGACTCAAAGCAGGCAGAGGGGAAGGAAACCCTGAAATCCTCGGGAAGGTGCTAGCTGCAAAGCGCTCGCACATTAAGTCAATGAGGGCTATTAGTTGCGGAGGCAGAAGTGTGGGGAGCCTGCCTCGGGCTATGCAAAGCACGGGCCATTCAGGCAGTCGCTGCTCGGCACGGGTGAGTTTATGGCTCTGGCACCCCGCCACCGACCGAGGTGCTTATTTGCAGTTAGGGCCGGGCTTGCGATCCTTTCCCTTCACCTTCTGGTGCGGTTGGCTCTGCGGTGCTGGGACAGTGCCCTCCTGCGGCACTGGGAGCAGCCGGCAGCAAAGCGTGCCTGGATCTGCTTCCAAAGGCTCAAAATCCCACGTACAAACCAAATGCAGCTGGATTTGCAGTCAGGGCTTTTAACTAAAGGCGTAACTCTGTGAAACAGATCTAGGCCTCTGGGCTGAGATGCTCCTTCTGTTCCTGAACGGGCATCTGGATTAGACCATTGTCTGTTTTTCTACAGCCACTGCCCAAACAGGCTTTTTGCTCCTAAATGAGAGTTTGTGTGTGAACCACGAGCTGTGAAAATGGAAGCACTGTGTGCAAACAGTAACCTGACAACTCTTTAAGACGTCAAAAGCTGCTCCCTGTAGGACCAAATTCAAACTGATAGATGTGTGTGTTTTGGTCATTACGCCCACTGAGGTTTGTGCTGTGAGGAGTTTTTTGATTCAAAACAAACTTGTTGTTTGGAAAAGTGGCCTTTTAACCAATCTGGATAAACAAAAAATTGGAAGACAAGAACAAACAAAGATCTATAGTGGCCTCTGCTCTGGCGAGAGCAAGAAAGGTGTAGTGCTTTCACAGATGCAGAGTATTTGGAAAACGGAACTCGTATTTCCATTTTGTCCTTGGCTGTGTCTGCATCTTGCATTCTGTATGTGATGACAAGTTCCTCCTTGTGAGTCTGGAGTGATTCACATGTAAATGCACTAAGCTAATCACATGGGCACAGCCTTCTAAATACTGGTTTTGGTGAATCTTTTAACTTCCCTTCTCCCCTTTCCACTGCCAAACTTCATCTGAAATGTGTAGGTATCAAAAGACGACCGCAGTGACGTAGAGAGCAGCTCTGAAGAGGAGGAGGTGACTTCGAACAGCACAAAAGGAGTTTTCAGCACTTCGAGTAACGGCTCCAACCGCATTAACGGCCACGTGGCTAGTGGCCAGTGGACAGAAGAGGAGTAAGGCTGTGGCCTTGAGCAAACACGAACTTATCTTTAAATATCTAGCTGTGTTGAGCTCCACATTCCCAAGTGATCTTTAATCAAGATACCCCTTCCCCAGAAACCTCCAGCAAATCGGAAACGGGCACAAACGAGACCAGTCAGAGGCTTTGCAGGACAGAAGGGATAAAGCCAATGGCTGGGACACAAACAACGCTGCAGATTTCTCTTTAAGCCATTTTGTACTTAAATCTTAGTCCCACCGATATTTGCAGAGGTATCTTTGTCACAAACTGGTTTTTACTAGGATCAACTCAAGGAGGAACAAGTTTGGACTCGGCTGGCTGCCAGCCGCAGGAGGGTTACGGTGCCACGTCTGTGGCGGTCCGCTCCAGCGCAGGTTCATCTCCTCGATGCACTCCAGAAGCCGCTCGAGCATGGAGAACGCAGGGCCCTGCGGTTCCATCCAGGCTACCCTGGCTGTAGCAGACACTTCTCTGCCCTGCTGTGAGCGCTCTGGCCTACAGCCAAGCTTTGCACGGGGCAGTGCTGCGACAGAGGCGGCATTCTAACCTGCCGTGGGGTGCCGTAAGCGAAGGAGGTTGTAGTGTTGTCTCTGCTGTCACGAGGGACCAGGCCAGCGTTCGCGGCCTACTTTGGTGCTGCAAGCCCCTCTGAAGCCTTGACTACAGCCTTCTGAAGTGGGGGAATGGGGTTGTTTATTGCCCCTAAGACAACTGTCACAATACATACGCCTTTTAGATTTTTATTTTCTGTTGCAAGTTGTGGTGTTGAAGATGTTTCTATGCCTACTGGGGAACAGTTGGCTAAGCTTGGACTCGAGCTGAGGGCAGACCAGTACTGGTGGGCTGTGTGTAACTTTCCACAACCTGGGGTGGTTCAGTTTTGCTGGTCTGTACTCCAGGACAGAAGAGAGTGTTGCTGCTCTGACTTTGCAGCAGCGTGGAGGAGTCGCTGGGCTGGAAGGGCAGCTGCACCACAGGCTTGGCTTCTTTTTTTTTACTCAATGGTACTTGGGGGCGATGGATGACCCGTATGGCAATCTTGGAAACTTCTTGAGTTGTTACCGTTTTATACCGTTGTTTACTCTTATCTCTGATTAAAAGATGCTTCAGAAACTTGCTTGACATGTTTTGTCTTGAGAGAACAAAACCGAGGGCAGGGTCTGCCCCTTCTCGGTCATTCTGAGCAGCTGTATGGCTGCCTGATGCAGGGCCCGGGCGCTGCCTCTGAGCAGCACCGTTTAAAAAATCAACAGGGACCCGTTCTGCGCAGTTTCGGGCAGGCACCACGCAGCACCCAACTCGGGAGTTTTCACGTTGTTTTTTATTGTGCTCCATTTCCTCCCCCCCAGCTTGGGGCGGCCGTGGGGGGGCTGTTTTCCACCCTTCCCC